CAAAAAAAAAAAAAAAAAAACAGCTGCGCGTGGTGGTGCATGCCTGTGGTTTCAGCTGCTCAGGAGGCTGAGGCAGCAAGATCACTTGAGCCCAAGAGGTCAAGTTTGCAGTGGGTCCTGATTGTGCCACTGAACTCCAGCCTGAGTGACAGAGTGAGACCCTATTTCAAAAATAAAAAAAGTGTTTTAGGACTTTTTCTCTACCTTTCTCTCCATCCCCAGGGTTTCACTGGGCCTCACCTGTCTTTGGTCCTAGATGATTGTGAATGGTGTGGTAATCAGTAAAGTCTTTTAGAACTTAGCACTAAATTCTGATTTCCTGGCCTCAACATGGGCCCTAAGCAGTTAGCAATCTGGGTTTGGGAGTGGGATGAGGGGAGGGTTGGAAGAAATATTTAGTGTGTTTCAGTTGCCTTTCTTCAATACAAGGCAACCCTGAACCAGCCTGTTCACAGCTCGGCTCTGTCCTCAGCTTTAGGTCATCAAACAGGCTTCCTCCCTCTGCACGAGCGTTGGGAACTGTCGATTTGCTTTCACTCAGCAAGAGCAAGGCGTTAGTGGTGACCAAGTGGTGGACTGGAGAACCCTATGCCCCGTGGCACACTCAGCTCCACCCTCAGAGACGGTGACGTGGGTCACAGGAGAGGGATCTGGAGGCCTGGGTTCGGAAGAGCTACTCCAGGCACTGGCGTTTTGATAGCAAACTGCTTCTGCGGCTCTTTCAGGACTGTTCCTGGCAGTACGTTAACCGGCAAGGACTATTTTCGGGCTATCCAGTTGCCTCCCCCTCTCCCCAACATGTTACCTAGCTTATCAGCAGCTATGTTTCTTTGCTCTACAAAACCTGTAGCACCAATAGGCCCAGTAATCAAGAAGGGTCATCGGAAGCCAAGGCTGGAAGCCCTTGTACAGCCGTTTCGTGACTCCACTAACTTTGTGGGGCCTCCCATTTCTTAGCATGGGTATCCTGAGCTGTGAAGCCTGCCTCATTCGCCACTTTGGTACCCGACAGGCCTACTGGATGTGCCTGTCCTTTTACAGGACATCCTTCCATCCCAAAGATGAGGCTGTGCTGCCACGTGCGCAAGCTCTGTAGGGAGAGAGGGAGCCATCGGGCTGTTCCTGCCACCTCAGAATACTGGGAAGGCCCTGGCGTCCTGCTCCATAGCTCCCTAGACCACTATCCCCGAACCTTGTCCCCACCTGCATCCCATGCCTCCAAGGCACTGACCTCAAATCCAAGTATTTCCCACTTATCTCAAGGTGCTGGCCAACAGGGATTCCTTATCTCAGCTCCCTGTCACCCGTGAGGAAGCCCCAACAAGGCGAGGGAGCTGACAGCCCTCTCATTTTTCTCGTACGTCCTCCTCTTCACCCCGACATCCCCGGGAGCCCCAGCCAGGTGCTCTTCAGGGCAGGGAGCACGTGAGCAGCCCCGGGGCTAGAAGCCGGTTCTTCCACATTCCTGGGGGAGGGCCTGGGTGGAGGATGTGTCTGCCTCAGGCTCCCTGGGGGAGGCCCCCTGAAGGGCTGGGGAAAATCCTATTGAGCCCCAGGCTCACCTGCCTGCACTGGCCCGGGGATGGGGGGGATCCTTGACTTTAACTCTCTCCTAGGCACCCAGGAGCTTCAGAGAGGAGGAAGGCAAGAAGCAGGTTCTCTGGCCATGACTTTCTTAGTCCTCCGGCTATAGAGTTAACGACAGGAGTATCTCTGGAGGTGGAGTCACCTTTTGTTTGAGTAACCATTTCACCCACCCTGGCTGAGGGTGGCCAGGAACTCCCCAAGTTGTGGCATTAATGGAGGTGGGTCACACAGATTCTACCTTTTTTTTTTGAGACAGAGTCTGACTCTGTTGCCAGGCTGGAGTTCAGTAGCGCAATCTTGGCTCACTGCAACCACCGTCTCCTGGGTTCAAGTGATTCTCCTGCCTCAGCCTCCAGAGTAGCTGAGATTACAGGCACACGCCGCTATGCCCAGCTAAAATTTTTGTATTTTTGGTAGAGATGGGGTTTCACCATGTTGTCCAGGATGGCCTCAATTCCTGATCTCGCGATCCACCCTCCTCGGCCTCCCAAAGTGCTGGAATTACAAGTGTGAGCCACTGGATCCTACATTTTAGATACGTAAAAAACTAGATCTGAAATTAGCTGGGAATCTGTACCTGGGAGGCAGAGGTTGCAGTGAGCCAAGATCACGCCACTGCACTCCAGCCAGGGTGACAGAGTGAGACTCTGTTTCCAAAAAAAAAACTAGATCTGGAAGAGATCTTATGGATTATTAAATTCAGACAACTTCATTTTTTACAGAGTGGGAAACAAGTGCAGACTCCAAGGGTCTCATCCAAGATCACACAATTACAGACACTGGCTACAAGTCCCCTGCCTCTGCCATCCTGTATTACCCCATTCAGGGTCTCAAGGAGGCTCTATAGGACACTGTCCATTGTGTTTCGGGCTGAGTCCATAGAGACAGCCACAGACGTTGCGGGGGGGGCTTTGCCCACAGGGAAGGCAAGGGCTCTGGCCATGGAGCTGGGTGGGAAGACTGTGAAGCCCGAAGACATTGGGTCCTGTGCAGGGAAAGAGCGAGGGTTTCATGCACAAGGCACTTGGATACCTGCATGTGACTCTCAGCGTCACCCCTTCGCCAACTCTGTGTAGCCTGGGCAAGCCATTCAACCCTCCACGATGCAACTTTCTTGTTTATAAAATGGGAATAACCATGCATTCCTTACAGGGCTTTTTCGGTGTGAGAATTAAATGAGAGAATATGCTGAAATGTGCTTGGTAAATACATTTATACTCTGTGTTCCGTCTTTGAATGACATGACCCAGGTAGTCAGGCTTCTGACCGCTAGAGGGCAGCAGAAGGTACTGGAAAACGGGCCAAGTGAAACAGATTAGATGAAGTCTGGAGAGCAGGGACGAATTTATCCATGTGGATTCTGGCAACTCCGGTGGGGAGAGCTTCAGCAGGCGCTGAGGGAAGAACTTTCAAGCAAAGCTGGGTCCTTCAGGAATGATTGCAGCAACCCTGATGCTCAGATGGAGTCCAGGCAGTTGACGGGAGTGAAGACCTTGCCAATGGAGTGGGTGCTGGAGAAGGAGCTCTTTGGTGGGGAGCCGGGGCCAAGGCTAGGCTGGCACGCCCGGCCACCACCAATTAATCCATGGGTATTGCCCAGCCTTGAGCCTGGAGCGTCTCCCAGGTCCTGGCCAGAGTGCTGGGTGTTCTGGGAATAATCCCCAAACCCAGTCACTCCTCTCCCTACTAGGCCTCTTAGTCACCGAACCTCTGGAATTTAGGGGCCAGCAGCTTTCTTACCCAGGTCAGACAGGGGTTCATGTTCTTCCCTCACTTGCCCTCCCCCTGCCTGGTCCCTCTCTAGCCTGGCCCCTGGGAAGAATTTCCTGGGCCACAGGGCAGCCAAAAGCACAGATGCCCACCCCAGCAACGTTCCCGCCACCTGCCCAGGCCAGTGCCCTGTGCCCAACCCCAGAGGGTGCGGGATGACAGACTCTGACAATCATTAAACCAGCCGGGCCTGATTTCCCAGCACCGCCTGCTAAGATCCGGGCCAAGTGGCACTGAATATGCAAATCACCTGGGGCCAGGAGCCCAGTCTAAAGGCCAGGAAATCCCCTCCGTCCAATGAGCCACCAGCTCAGGTTACTGAAGGGGACGAACTATAAAGGCCCGAGCTCAGGGAGGAGCTCCCTCCGGGCTCTATTTAGAGCTGGGTAGGGGAGCGCAGCGGCCATACATCTCAGCGCTACCTGGCGGAACTGGATTTCTCTCCCACCTGCAGCGTAAGCCTGCCTGCCGGCCTGCCTGCCACAGCTGGACTCCGCCACTCCGGTAGGATTCCCTGCCTGTCATTCCCTTGCCCAGCTCTTGGGAAACTGCAGAGGGGTTCAGAGGATTTGCGATTCTGAACCTGCGCACTCCAGTCTAGGATCTCAGAGCAGGAGCGAATGTGTCCTGAGGGTTGAGGAACAGAAGGAGATTGTCTCTGGGAGGGCGGAATGGCCATGACGCCGCCAGCCTGTCTCCAGGGCCCCAGAGCTCTGCAGAAGCAGGAAGCCCAGCAGCAGGCTCCTGCCGTCCTGCCCTGGTCTGGGATCTTGGAGCCCTTCTTGAAGAGAGAGTGTCCGCAGAGTTACTGATCTTCCTGCCCCTTGGGGATACTCTTGCCCAGGGTTGGGCAGAGCAGAGTAGCTGGGAGTGTAAGGAGAGGACCCTCGTCCCCTCACCAACCTCATCCCGTCTCCCCCTACCCACAGGTAGCCTCATGGCTGCAACCTGTGAGATTAGCAACATTTTCAGCAACTACTTCAGTGCTATGTACAGCTCGGACGACTCCACCCTGGCCTCTGTTCCCTCTGCTGCCACCTTTGGGGCCGATGACTTGGTGCTGACCCTGAGCAACCCCCAGATGTCATTGGAGGGTACAGGTGGGTCTCAGCAGGGTGGGATGGGGCATGGAGGGGGAGACAGATCCATCTAAGGGCCTGTTAGACAGATGGGGGAATGGGTGGGGAGGAGGTCTCTAGGCGAATTCCAGGGCTAGCGGCTGAGACTTAGTATTGAGGTGCTGGGGTTTGTGGGGCTGTGACAGGCAGAGGGAGGTGTCGGATACCAGGACTAGGGTGTTGTGAATGCTACCTCCTGCCCCTGCTCCAGGGAGAGCTTCGAGGGCTGAAGTGGGAGTCCTCAGTGTGCACCAGGAATGGGGCTGTGTGTGTTGGGAGTGATGGTTCACACCTGTAATCCCAGTACTTTGGGAGGCCCAGGTGATTGGATCATTTGAGGTCAGGAGTTCGAGACCAGCTTGGCCAACACGGTGAAACCCTGTCTCTACTAAAAATACAAAAATTAGCTGGGCATGATGGCACATGCCTGTAGTCCCAGCTACTTGGGAGGCTGAGGCAGGAGAATCACTTGAGCCTGGGTGGTGGAGGTTGCAGTGAGCTGAGATTGTGCCACTGCACTCCAGCCTGGGCCACAGAGTGAGACCCTATCCCAAAAAAAAAAAAAAAAAGGAACGGGGCTGTGAGGTCTGCTGGGTAGCCTGAGCTGAGCCTGTTGCCATGCCTGGCTCTTGCAGAGAAGGCCAGCTGGTCGGGGGAACAGCCCCAGTTCTGGTCGAAGACGCAGGTTCTGGACTGGATCAGCTACCAAGTGGAGAAGAACAAGTACGATGCCAGCGCCATCGACTTCTCACGGTGTGACATGGACGGGGCCACCCTCTGCAACTGTGCCCTTGAGGAGCTGCGTCTGGTCTTTGGGCCTCTAGGGGACCAGCTCCATGCCCAGCTGCGAGACCTCAGTGAGTCCAGGCCCCTGGAGGCGGGCGAGCGGCTCCATATGCTGAGCTGAGTTGAGTTCACTGTGGCTGTGGGCAGCCCGGAGCTCTGGGCCAGAGGCATAGCCAGAAAGAGCCCTTGAGGGAGGGATGAGGGGAGTGTGACGCTTCCTTCCTTCCTTCCTTGTCAGCTTCCAGCTCTTCTGATGAGCTCAGTTGGATCATTGAGCTGCTGGAGAAGGATGGCATGGCCTTCCAGGAGACGCTAGACCCGGTCCCTTTTGGTGAGAACCCATTTTCTCCTTCCTTCCCCAGCCTGTCTTGTCCCATCCCTGCCCCTCCACAGAGTGCTAGAGATGACTCCCTCCCCAGACTTCTTCCTCCCTCAACTAGAAAAATCGCAGCAGGTCATCAGACCCATGGGCAGCCTCACCCGTCCTAGTCCAGTCCCCTGAGCCCTCTCTGAGTTCTCACCTCCTTTTCCTAGACCAGGGCAGCCCCTTCGCCCAGGAGCTGCTGGACGACGGTCAGCAAGCCAGCCCCTACCACCCCGGCAGCTGTGGCGCAGGAGCCCCCTCCCCTGGGAGCTCTGACGTCTCCACCACAGGTGAGAGCCCTCTCTGGGGCACAACCTCCCTTCCGCCAATTGTCCCTGGTTCCCTCTGGCTCCTGGCACCAGTACTCGGACCCTCTGGCAGGAGCAGGAACAGGCTGGGAAGGGTGTCCTGAGGGCCAGCAGCCTGGTTCAGCAGAGGGTGGGCTGGCAAGGGACTCACTCTGACGACACCCCCCAGGGACTGGTACTTCTCAGAGCTCCCACTCCTCAGACTCCGGTGGAAGCGACGTGGACCTGGATCCCACTGACGGCAAGCTCTTCTCCAGTGGTGAGTCGTGGGAGGTCACCATGAGGGCGTCCCATTTACCACTGCCCAGAGGGCCCAGCTCTTCCTGCAGGCTTTTCCTGTAGAGGGGCTGCTCCCCCTAACGTCCCCCTCGCCCTCCTTGACCTTCCACCCTGTCCCCACAGATGGCTTTCCTGACTGCAAGAAGGGGGATCCCAAGCACGGGAAGCGGAAACGAGGCCGGCCCCGAAAGCTGAGCAAAGAGTACTGGGACTGTCTGGAGGGCAAGAAGAGCAAGCACGGTGAGCTGCGGGGGCGCCTGGGTCTGCCCTGCTGAGGCTGAGCGGCTCCCGGGGGCACTGCGGGGCATCGTGGGTATGCCTCCCCGTTTTCTCTGGTCTCCCACACGGCGTTGGTTAAGGCTGTGCACATGCTGGGGCTCTATGGTATTGGTCACCACCTGATTGCAGAGCCTGGTTTGGTGGTCCTGGAGAGGAGGGGGAAATAGGGTCCCTGTGGAGGCGACTGGCACCAGAGTCCAGGTGTCCCGTCCACTGACCCCAGCTCTCTCTGCACTTGGCCACTGCCTGCCTTCCGCAACCCCTCAGTGATGTGAGGAAGCTGCTGGTGGGTGCTTAGGTGGGCTGAGGAGAAAGGCAGCCACTACAGTCCCCTCACAGAGGGCGCTGCAGGTTCTCTGGAGGGGCCTGCTCCATGCCTGTGGCCAAGTCAGCCGTGCACCGGGGAGGGCGGGGCTGGCTGACCTTGGGTGAGAGCGGACACTGAACGGAAACTGACGGAAGCTGGCCTTGCAGCGCCCAGAGGCACCCACCTGTGGGAGTTCATCCGGGACATCCTCATCCACCCGGAGCTCAACGAGGGCCTCATGAAATGGGAGAATCGGCACGAAGGTGTCTTCAAGTTCCTGCGCTCCGAGGCTGTGGCCCAACTGTGGGGCCAAAAGAAAAAGAACAGCAACATGACCTATGAGAAGCTGAGCCGGGCCATGAGGTGAGCTGTTGGCCAGGACCCTCACGATGCGGCTGGACACGGGACAGGCGCTTATGGGCCCATCTCCCTCTTTCTGCTTGCTCCTCAGCTTCATGCAGCAGGCTTCAGTCTGTGGAGTGAGGACAGAAGCAGGGTTGGCCTACTTTGTGGATTAAATGACAACACGGAGAAAGTATTAGCCTGGCAGACAGCAGACACAGTGCACTTGAGGGGGCAGGAGCTGTGCCCACCCCAGGGCCTGCCTTTCTCCTCGTTGAAGGATTAAGTTGCTTTTATCTGGCCTCAGTTTCCTCCTATGGCCAGGGGGAGACTAGGTCATCTTCAGCTCCCGTCCAGCCCTAAAATCATGTACTTTCTTCTTTTTTTTCTTTTTCTTTTTAAAATAGAGACAAGGGTCTCTATGTTGGCCAGGCCAGTCTCAAACTCCTGGTCTCAAAGGAGTCCTGCATCGCCCTCCCAAAGTGCTGTGATTACAGGCATGAGCCACTGTGCCTGGCCTTTTCTTCTTTTTTCTTTTTTTTTGAAAGAGGGTGTTGCTGCAGTGGTGCGATCTCAGCTTACCACTACCTCCACCTCCCGGGTTCAAGTGATTCTCCTGCCTCAGCCTCCTGAGTAGCTAGGACTACAGGCATGTGCCACCATGCCCAGCTAATTTTGTATTTTTAATAGAGATGGGGTTTCACCATGTTGGCCAAGCTGGTCTCAAACTCCTCACCTCAGGTGATCCGCCCGCCGTGGCCTTCCAAGGTGCTGGGATTATAGGCATGAGCCTCCGCGCCCAGTCGCCTGGCCTTAAAAATCACATAATTTAATGATCAGACCCAAGTCATAGCCATAGGATACAAAGAAGCAAGGGCAGAGAGCCATGCGTCCTGGCCACAGTTACAGGCCAGTGTAAGGACAGAGCAGACAGCTCCTGCTTACAGGTGGGAAGAACAGAGGAGTTCAGGAAGTGTGAGTCAGGCTCAGGTTAGTCAGGCTGAGACCCGTGGGCACGGGTCACCTGGGGGTAATGCGGGCCACGTGGGAGGGCTGGCCGTCTGGGGCCCGTTTCCTGCCTAAGCACCTCTGACCATCCTTCTCCCCACTCAGGTACTACTACAAACGGGAGATCCTGGAACGGGTGGATGGCCGTCGACTCGTCTACAAGTTTGGCAAAAACTCCAGCGGCTGGAAGGAGGAAGAGGTTCTCCAGAGTCGGAACTGAGGGTCGGAACTATACCCGGGACCAAACTCATGGGCCACTCGAGGCCTGCAACCACTCCTGGGAGGACAGGCAGGCCAGATGGCCCCTCCGCTGGGGAATGCTCCCAGCTGAGCTGTGGAGAGGAGCTGAAGTTTTGGTGTAGTGTCTGCCGTCGTCCTGGGACTTGGAGGCTGTGGCCTCGCCTCCCCGGCCTCCTCTTGGAATTACAAGCCCTGGGGTTTGAAGCTGACTCTATAGCTGCAAGTGTGTCTCCTTTTATCTGATGCCTCCTCAAACCCAGACTAAACGAGACGGCACCTTCCTCCTGCAGACACCTGGACTGAGCCAGGGAGACCTGGGGAGGCCCTAGGGGAGCGCCGAGATGGAGAAGACTGAGGAGGGGCTCCAGCACCTTCTTTCTGGACTAGCGTTCACCTCCCTGCTTGGTGCTTGGGCTCTACAGGCAGGGGTCAGAGCACTCCCTAATTTATGTGCTATAAATATGTCAGATGTACATAGAGATCTATTTTTTCTAAAACATTCCCTTCCCACTCCTCTCCCACAGAGTGCTGGACTGTTCCAGGCCCTCTGGTGGGCTGATGCCGGGACCCTGAGGATGGGGATCCTGGCTCCTTTCTCCTGTGAATGGAGGCAGAGACCTCCAATAAAGTGCCTTCTGGGCTTTTTCTAACCTTTGTCTTAGCTACCTGTGTACTGAAATTTGGGCCTTTGAATGGAATATGGTCAAGAGGTTGGAAGGGAGGAGGATGAGCGTCTACCAGGCCGAGGGTGAGGGCACAGGCTGACGAAGAGAGGAGTGGCAGGTTTGGGCTTACAGACAGGTGGGCTGGGGGCTGGGAGACGAGCAAAGGAAGCAGGTGAGGCTGCTGGAAAACACCTGCAAGACTTCATGCAAGGACATGAACTCAGAAAGTGGAGGTCAGGAGCATCCTAATGTCACAACACTGCTCGGGTGACCTTGACCTTGACCAAGTCTGTCCTCTTTAGGACTGATTCTTCTTGTAAGGCTAGGGTTTGGACCTGATGTTCTCAAGATGTCTAGAATTGCATGGCTGGCCTTGTGGGACAGATGCTTTTACATTTCAGCCAAATGGGCTGTAAGCTGTATATCTGTCATATGAATCCCAGTTTTTGAGTCTGACAAAATCAGAATTAGGATCTTGTAAAGGGGGAAAAAAATGGAGATAAGTACTTGTTGAGAAAGAATGAGAGGAGTTACATCTGGTGAAAGCATAGTCTTTCTCTCTTTTTTAATAATTGCAACTTTTACTTTAGATTTAGGAGGTACATACACAGGTTTGTTGCATGGGTATAGTGTGTGATGAGAATGATCCTGTCGACCAGGTAGTGAGTACTGCACCCAGGGACAGTGTAGTCTCATGCCAGGCACTGTGCTGGCCCACGCTGCCTTGTTTAATCCTCCTCCAAGAAGAGAGGAGACGCGGTATTCCCATTTGACGTGTGGAAAGAGGTTCCACGTGTGCCTTGATTCTGTCTTAAAATCTTCCCGGGAGCCTTTCCTGGTGTAGGGGCTTTATCCTCAATAGATGCCAGAGCTGTTATTCTGTTTCCACAGTGATAATGTGTCTAGGTTTTAAGGAGAACAGTTCATTGATGTTACTTATGAAGAATGCCTTCCAGGTGGAAAGTTCCTTGAGCCTGAGGCTTCACACTCCATAGAGCACATTCAAATCCCATTCGTGGGTTTGAAATACTGCTCTGTCATCTTGGAAATACCAACCGGATTATTGGCTGAAGTGATGTGGGTAAAGAAGGGACCCTAGGGAAACGAAAGCTTGTGTGTGGATGTCTGGAAATGTGGCTTGCTCTGGAGGAGCAAGAAATGGTGGAAGGGAGAGTGGAGAAATTGGCTGGAGAGAAAAGTGGGGTCATGAGAGAGCCTGGAATCCTGGAGCCATTTTGGAAAAAGACTATTACTTACATTTCCCTTCTGAAGTGTGAGCCAGTTAGACAAAGCCGGTGTGGGCAGGGCATAGATTTAGCCTCAGAAGCTGGGGAAGTTTCACAACTACTTAGTCCAAAAATGACCCCATTTCTTGAAAATTATACATTAGACTTGGGGCTAATTTCCCTCGCCACAATATCTTGGGTCCTTGCACCCTTAAGAGAGGTGGCCCAGTGTGGCCTGAAGTCACCTAGCCAAGAAGTGTGGGAGGAGCCTCTGGAGCCCAGGCCAGCTTGTTCGGCCTCCCTTGACCCCCCAGCCTCTTCAGCTCCTAAAGGAGATCCTAGCAGGGAGGAGGGCTGGGAATGTGGCGCTCAGCCCCTTTATCCTCTCCTGGAGGGCTGGGGCAGGTGCTGCCCACTGCGCTGAACTTTGTCCTGCCATTTGCAGTTTATGAGGCGCTTTCCTCATCCCATTATCTCATTTGATCCACCCCACAGCTCTCTGAGGAGACTGGGCGTCCCCGTTTTACTGACAAGACTATTGGCGGGCCGAGGTCACCGGCTGGGCTGAGTGAGAGCCGGGACCGGCTGGCAGCATGCCTGCCCCCACGCCGCAGCTCGATGGGGCCGCCTGGGCAGGTGGCCTCTGCAGGGCAGTGCTGGACAGCCTGGAAGAGGGCAGCTCTGGGGAGGGACGTCTTTCTCCCCAACAGTGTTCTCCCCTTTCATCCCTCAGGATGCTGCAGAGTCTTGGCACAGACCCCTGGGCTGGCCTCTGTGCTGCCCTCTCTGTCGGACACCAGGCACTCTTACCCCGACTCTCACCGGTCCAGGGGCCTCTGAATGGACTCCTCCTTGCAGGAGATGGGCCCCATCTCTCACCCACCCATGGTCAGGGTCCCCTCAGGTGCGTCCTGGCTCGGGGGTGGGGTCGGGGAGGAAGCCACAGGGCAAGGCTGTTTATATCCTGCCCTGCTGGAGCTGCTGGTCACCTCTTATCTGCTTCTGTGGGGTTGGGTGTGTCGCTGTGCAGGTCAGAGGGAGGTCACCCCTCCCATGGTGTTTGGGTGTGCCGAGGAGGGGCTGGGGTCGGCCTCCCGGGACAGTTCTCGCTTTTCCCACAGCCCCACCTGTCCCACCAAGTCTTGGGAAATCTGGCTTCTCCTAGGGGAAGTGGGTGAAGGGGCTGCATTTCTGCGGAGTCTGGTTTCAGTCTGCCCTCTCACTGCAGCTCTCTGTTTACACAGCCCTCTCCCTCCCGGGCTGCGGGCACCGGGCAAGTGCTGGGCTTACTCACCTCGGCACCTCGCACAGCGCCTGGCACAGAGGAGGTGCTCGATAAATATTTGTTAAATGGCCCCGTGACTCTCCCTGTCCTGGCCGCCACCTCCCTCACATACCACACACACACTCATATATGGGAACTAAAGTCACACACACACACTCACAAAGACAAATATTCACAAGCCCTCACACATGCCCCTGCACGCTCTGCAGACACTGCCTGCTCTCATGCACTCGCGTGGGCCATATTCACAGCCTCACACACCTGCACACACCAGCACACACGACACACTCCCACCTCACAGTCTCACACAGCCACATCCTGGACTGTTGTTTGCCCTACTCATCTCCTCCCTGGGGGCCCTTCTATGAAGCATTTCCTCACCTCCTCTTCGGCCCTTTTCCCCCACTGCCAGATGGGTTCAGCCCTTGCCTCCAGTCAGGACAGGCCTGGTAATTTGCAGAGCTCAGTGCAAAGTGAAAGCTTGGGCCCTTTAAGTAATTATTAGGCAGGGCGTGGTGGCTCACACTTGTAATCCCGGCACTGTGGGAGGCCGGGGCTGGTGTACCACCTGAGGTCAGGAGTTCAAGAACAGCCTGGCCAACATGTTGAAATCCCATCTCTACTAAAAATACAAAAATTAGCCCGGCGTGGTGGCATGCGCCTGTAATTCCAGCTACTCAGGAGGCTGAGGCAGGAGAATCCCTTGAACCTGGGAGGCAGAAGTTGCAGGGAGCGGAGATCGCGCCATTGCCCTCCAGCCTGGGCAACAAGAGCAAAACCCCGTCTCAAAAAAAATTTTTTATTTTTATTTTATTTTTTGAAGTGAAAGGTCTCACATATTTATTACTGAACCCAGGCAACCAAAACCTTCTTTTCTTTTTTTTTTTTTTTTTTTTGAGACGGAGTTTCACTCATGTTACCCAGGTTGGAGTGCAATGGCGCGATCTCGGCTCACCGCAACCTCCGCCTCCTGGGTTCAGGCAATTCTCCTGCCTCAGCCTCCTGAATAGCTGGGATTACAGGCACGCGCCACCATGCCCAGCTAATTTTTTGTATTTTTGGTAGAGACGGGGTTTCACCATGTTGACCAGGATGGTCTCAATCTCTTGACCTCGTGATCCATCCGCCTCGGCCTCCCAAAGTGCTGGGATTACAGGCTTGAGCCACCGCGCCCGGCCTTTTTTTTTTTTTTTTTTTAACATGAATAATGGAAGCACTGTGCGTTGTACTAATGCCTTCATAACAGATACAGAAAGGAAACTGTTCAAATTTCTCCAGATGGCGGTGACATTTTTCAGCTTGATTTGGTAACACGACTGTGACCTACAGACAGCATAAATATGTGTGCCATCGCATATGTAATTTCTTACAGACCAAGCTTGGTTCTTCTCCAGTGTCTCCTTTTGGAGTTGTACCTGATTTTATTACCAGTTTTCATCCGAATCCACTGGGGAATGGGACGATTTTGCTTTTGTTTCTTGGCCAGGGATCGCTTAATCCTGAAAGTCTTGTGAGAAGACATGGCGAGAAACGGAGTAAAGCACACATCACGATGGCGGAGAAAGGAAGAGAGAGGAAAAAAAATTTTTTTTTGAAACGGCAACAACAGAGCACACATCACGGAGGTGCGGTCCTCCTAGCACAGGGCCTGTGTGATCGCTGGACAGGCCACACTCAGGAAGGCAGCTCTGCCTCCGTGTGCCGCTGGCCTGTGAGAGCTCCACTGAGGTACCCACCATCCTTCTACTGCAGATGTGTTTGCCACAGTCACCAAAAAATCAACAAGTTGTCAAGTTTTTGTTTTTTTTTTTTTAAGACGGAGTCTTGCTCTGTCGCCAGGCTGGAGTGCAGTGACGCAATCTCGGCTCACTGCAACCTTCGCCTCCTGGGTTCAAGCGATTCATCCGCCTCAGCCTCCGGAGCTGCTGGGACTACAGGCGCCTGCCACCACACCCGGCTAATTTTTGTATTTGTTTTAGTAGAGACGGGGTTTCATCATGGCCAGGATGGTCTCGATCTCTTGACCTCATGATCCACCCGCCTCGGCCTCCCAAAGTGCTGGGATTACAGGCTTGAGCCACCGCGCCCGGTCCCTTTCCTTCCTTTTCTGAGCCTCGGTTTCCTCATCTACAAAATGAAGATTGTTCTATATCGAGTGCTTTGTCTTACGAATCACCAGTGAGACCTGGTCTCAAAAAAAATTAAAAATGAAAATAAATGTGAGAAACAGAACGAGAAGATTTGGCGCAGTGAGTCGGCTCTCCCTGGACCACAGTCTGTCACCATGGAGTCAGGCTGCTCCATGTAGTCTTGACTTTACCACCATGCCCACCATGCAGTACCTGTGTGGCCCCAGAGGCACTCAGTTTTCAACCACTGGTGGAACAAAATCTATGCCTCCCTCACCTACTGCTCCCAGACTAGGAGCACGTTTTGTACCCCCTCTACCTGGCAATAGGATGGCTCGTTGGGCATGTTAGCAAGTGAATGAATGAAGTGGGTTGTGGGGGTGGGAGGATGCTCATGAGTATGGACACCCAGCCAGCCCCTTCCACTATGAGGGCCTGGGATGGGCACCAGAAGCCCCTGATACTTACTGGGAAGTATTGAGTTGTCTCACCTCCAGGACCATTGACTTTTAACTCAGTTCAGTGCATGGTGTGTCATGGGCCCTCAGGCACACTGGACTATCTCTGCATGGTCTTCTGGGCTGTGCATGGCTGCTGAACCTGGAGTGCCCAAAGATGCCACCACTGCCCAGCAGTCTTGTCCCTTCCCCACCCTCTGCTGAGGGAGGAGAGTTGGCAGAACTTCATTCGTCCATGAGATAGCTCTGCACGTACTTCCCCCTCAACCCGTCTTTTTACAAGAAGAACAAGCACTTGAAATTAGCCCCTGTACATAACTACCAGTGATCTGAGCGCTCAGTGCAGAACACTCTCTTTTTTTTTGAGACAGAGTCTCGCTCTGTGGCACAGGCTGGAGTGCAGTGGTGCATTCTCAGCTCACCACAACTTCCGCTTCCTGGGATCAAGAGATTCTCCTGCCTCAGCCTCCCGAGTAGCTGGGACTACAGGTGCATGCCACCATGCCCAGCTAATTTTTGTATCTTTAGTAGAGATAGGGTTTCACTATGTCGGCCAGGCTGGTCTCAAAATCCTGACCTTGTGATCTGCCTGCCTCGGCCTCCCAAAGTGCTGGGATTACAGGTGTGAGCCACTGCATCTGGCTTATAACACTCTTCATTTTGTAGATGAGGAAACTGAAGCTCAGAAAAGGAAGGTAACTTGTTCAAAGTCACAAATCATGCTGACTTGGAGTCTGAGCTTAATGTTGACAGCTGACCGCTTACTGAGTACCTATCAGGTGCCAGGCAATGTGTCAAGTTATTGCTTTAGATACATCATTCCTTCTCTCTGTGTTTCTTAACAATCTGCTGTGTGCCTGGTTCCATGCAGGGTGCCGAAGACCCAGGAGGGAAGAGGTCACCAAGGGACAGTAGAAACCCTAGGCTAGGGCTGGGCACAGTGGCTCAGGCCTGTAATCCCAGCACTTTGGGAGGCCGAGGTGGGTGCGTCACCTGAGGGCAGGAATTTAAGACCAGCCTGGCCAACATGGTGAAACCCCGTCTCTACCAAAAATACAAAAATTAGCTGGGCGTGGTGGCATGCACCTGTAGTCCCAGTTACTTGGGAGGCTGAGGCAGGAGAATCGCTTAAACCTGGGAGGGGGAGGTTGCGGTGAGCCAAGATTGTGCCACTGCACTCCAGCCTGGGCAACAGAGTGAGACTCCATCTCAAAAAAAGAAAAAAAGAGAGAAAGAAAGCCTAGGCTAGAGCCTAGGAAATTCCAAAGACAGCTATATCAACCTCTCAACAATGTGGAGGAGGAGTGTCTCATTTCATAGATGAGCAAACTGAGGCTTCAGAGAGGTTAAGAATCAGTTTACGCTCTCAGAGACAGTAGTAAGTTTAGGAAACCAGAGCTTGAAACCTGGCTTCTTTCTTCAGTTCCACAACTGATACTGCTTTGAGAGGTTCTGAGCAACCCAAATGTCTCTGCTGCATGGGTGCCTGAAATCCCACCATTAGATGTACAGCTTGAGGAATGCCCCATGGACATACAAGCATGCCTGGGGTGGAGGGTGGATTCAGTGAGCCTCAATTTCCAGGTACCCTCGGATCCTGCAGGAAGATGGGAAGTAAGTTTTCAGTTCTTGAGAACCTCATGGTGGCCGTCCCTTTGGATTGCTGCCCTCTCATTCTTATTCTCCTCCTGCTCCTCCTCCTCCTCCTCCTCCTCCTCCTCCTCCTCCTCCTC